GACTGGATCTGTTGTTTCTAGTGAAGGATGACATTTTCTTCTTCTTCTTTTTTATAACTCTTATTATTATTCAAGTCTCAACTAAATGAATCGCTCCTGTTATTAGTTATTTAGATTATCAAGCTTCCTAGAGTCCCATAGTTGAAACAATTTTGATTTCTATTCTCGACACGTTCAATTCGGATTTTTTTGTATAACGTAAAAGCTTGATAAATTTCTGAATTAGGTGTGTTATCACCTATGAATTTCTTAAGAAAATTAGTTTCTACTTTCTACACGTTTAGTTAAGTTTAGTTTCTACTTTCAACACGTTTAGTCAGGTTTTTTTTGTTTGTAATAACTTCAAAACATAATAAATTTTTAAAATCGGTGTTAACACCTATGAATTTTGGATTTTTTTTAAAAACTAGAAACTTAGTTTCTTTAGAGTCTCATATATCACGAAAAATTGTTGAAACAATTTAGCTTTTACTCTCGACATGTTTAATCCGTTTCTTTGTTGCTGTAATTAACGTAAAAACATAATAAATTTCTGAAATTGGTGTGTTAACACCTATAAATTTTGGAATTTTTAAGAAAATTAGAAACTTAGTTTAGTAGGCTTCCTTAGAGTCCTATATCACGAAATATGGTCAAAACAATTTAGTTTCTATCTTGACACGTATAATCCGTTTTTATTTAATAACGTAAAAACATATTCTCTGTTCTTTAAAAAATGATGTTTTGGGTTTTGGACATATATTAAGAAAAATTAAATCCAACAACTTTTAATACAGTTTGTCACTTTCCAAAACAATTAATCATTTTTTTTCGTTTGAACATCTGATATTTCATTAATCTTTTAAGAATTTGTACATAAATTATGAAGAGAATTAATGAATACAAATAAGAAATGAATTCTTCCTCTTGTATCATCCGAACACCTGCAAGTAACTTGATACAATGATATATCAGAAACCAAATCATTGCTATGCCCATTCTTCAATCATATACAAACGTTTCGGAGAACCGGCATGGATCCGTCTTTCGAGACCGGAGAATGAGAATGGCTAGTCCATAATCGATGATCACACGGAGTCTAAAACATATCGGGTTCCACCACATCAACAATTTCTTCATCTTGATACAGTTACACCCCTTCGACTCATGAACTTCATATAATCTC